GACGATGGACTTCGTCACGGGGTTACCGGCTGGATCAAGTGGGAACGACGCGATCCTGGTCGTCGTCGATCGGTTGACGAAAATGGCACATTTCGTAGCATGCAAGAAATCAATCACAGCCGAAGAAACAGCTCGCCTCTTCATCGCCACCATCGTTCGTTTACACGGGATACCAGCAGCGATCATCAGCGACCGCGACACGAAATTCACCAGCAACTTCTGGCGGAACTTGTGGCAGCAGTTCGGCACGCGACTACAGTTCAGTTCATCATACCACCCCGAAACCAACGGACAGACAGAACGGACAAATCAGACCATGGAACAGCTCATCCGGGCCACGTGCGACGACCCGACCATGTGGGAACAGCAACTGCCACTTATCGAATTCGCGTACAACAACTCGCCATCTGCCACGACCCAACAGTCACCATTTTACCTGAACTACGGACAAGACCCCACAGTACCCATGACCCCGAATCCCGACAACCCAGTCCCACGCGCGCAACAGTTCGCAGAAATACTGCAAGCAGCACGGACCCGAGCAGCATAAGCAATAAAAAAATCAAACATCATCGCTAAACGCAACGCGGACCGCCACCGCCGACCTGTCACTTACCAGCCCGACGACCTAGTTTTACTCGACACTCAAAACCTCCGCCTGCCCATCACCCCAAAACTCCGCCCCCGATACTGCGGGCCATTTCGCATCAGCCACATGATCACACCCGTCACCGTCCATCTCCTCCTCCCTGCTGACTGGTACGTCAGCCCGTCATTCCACGTCAGCCTGCTTCGCCCATACGTGCCATCCACCAGCCAACTGCCTCGAAACCGCCCCGCCAGCATGACACGACCACCGACAGAGCCAACCATCACGCTCGAAAAAATACTGAGCCACCGAGTACATGACCCACGGGGAGCCCGCGGGATCGAATTTCTAATCCGCTGGAAAGACCGCACGCCAACCGAAGACAATTGGGTTCCCCTGGATAGAATTGAGAATCACCCTGTCGTGACTGAGTATCTGCGTAGCCGAAACTTTCGAGATGTACACGCGCTCTCGTAAGAGGGGCCTCCGTGGGGAGGGGGGGGGTAGTGTAAGGAAAATCCCTTTTCCTTACTTCGCGTCCCTGCTTACCGCGTACATGCCCATTCCCGCCGTCGGCACCCATCCGTGAACGTTACCCGCTCGCGACATTCGCCTCGACCACGACTCCCGCCACTGTTCACGATGCGACCCAACCTCACGGTTCGGTTGGTAACCCGCGCTCCGGACCTCCGCCTCGACAATTCCCAACCTCAGCGCTAGGCCCGTAGCGCACTCCAATTTCCCGCATTACCGTTACCACGCTAGCTTCGCTATATAACTTCGCTCATGCTTTTTCGCTCAACTGTATTGATTGCTTCGATAGTGCAACTCTCACTCGCTCGTTCAATTGCACACGTAACACAAATACACAAGAGACTTGTTTTAAAAAACATCTTGGCTCAAACCGGCTCTCTGCTAGGCTTAATCAGGAACTCGCAAGTGCGCTGATTATGCCCAGTACTGCCACACTTAGAGCACCGGATAAGTCTGTGCAACACCTTCCCTGCTGTGACCTCCTCTGTGGCCCTCAGGGCAGGTGTAAGCTGTTGGCTTTTCGTAGCATCCTCAGGGAGGACCTCCTTGCAAGATCGACGATTATGTCCGAGTTCTCCACACCTTGAGCACTCCATGAGCCTCCTCAGACCTCTTTTTGTACGGTCTTGCTTCACATACCCTGTTGAGGGACAAAAGTTTCTCCGATGGCCAGCCTGCCCACAAGCTTTACAATGAAACGCTACACCTGGCATGGAAGGGATGGAAGGGGTGGAAAGGACGGGAAGACACATGACACAAAAAAGGTGAAAACACGGAGGAAATTTAGGCACGGGCAAGATCATGGAAAACAAGGGATTGAAGCCAACAACAGGGGTAGTGTAACAACGTATCAGCACCTGTCTTTACTTGGCTGATAAGCTGCCTGAATGCAGGGTCAGCACCGCGCTGCTTGGCCCGTGCCGATATCTTGGATGGAGCATTCTTCTCGTAGTATCCCTTCTGAGAATACGGAGGGTGATAAGGGGAAAGCGAAGGCGAAAAGTCAAGCCAGGGACTTGCAGTCAATGGGAAGGCAGAAATACAACCATCAAGAGTAGACTACACGAAGTCAAGCACTGGTAGTAAGACTCTGCTCATACACCTCTCATCCGACGTGGGCGTAAATGCACAGTGCATATTTCATGCAAGATGGCTGGTTCAGTGCAATACAGCCTGGTGACACGCGATGCAAACCGATAATAGGTATGATGGATTGTCATTGACACACGCCTCAAGAAGAAAAGACATACATCTTCTTAGGAGGTGATGCAAAAAATGCAGCATGTTTGAACAGCAGAACATAAACTGACACAGAATAACACCAGGCTCACCATCATTGCTGTCCGCAACCTTTCCTTTCTCTCTGGGTCCGCAAACCTCTCTCTAGCAGTCCTTGACAACCGCCCAGTCCTCCTCTCCAACGCTCTCAACCCCTCACTAATCCTCCGCCTCTCCTCCTCGGACCTCGGCCCATACACTCGCTTCGACTGCTGCCTCCTCCGCCTCCTCTCCAGCAACTCAGCCTCCACTGCTGCATCTGCAGCCGCTTCTGCCTCCTCGTCCCCCTCTATAATTACCTGACCCCCCGGCCATGGCAGATATAAGAACAGACTCCTGCTGCTGGCATTAGCGGTACTGCTGCTGCTGATACTGCTGCTGCTGCTGGTGTTGGTGCTAGTGTCTAAGGCATGACTGCTGCTATGAACAGCTCTGCTGCTAGAGTCGCTGTTATTGGCGCCCCGTGTGGTCATGCCGCTACCACCCACGCCCCGAAGCACTCCGTTTTCGATAAGAGGGCCTCCCCTGCCGTTGGGCAATGTGGCCTGCCATCGGCCAAGCAGCTCGTGGCCTGCAGGGACAGGTGGCACGAGACGACTGGCTGCGCGCAAACGCCTCTGTCTCTGGTGAGTTCGTCTATCCGGTTCCTCCACCTGCTGAGTCAAAGATGGGCTAGGGTCTCCGTTTGTGGTGCTTCCACTGCTGCCGCTACGGCTGCTTTGGCTGCTTCCGCCGTTGCTGCATTGGTTGTTGTTGTTGCTGCTGCTATCGCCAACGCAATTCGTTTCATCACGACTGCTGTAAACCACGCCACTGACGTGTCTGCCTGCTGATCCTCTTTGTCTCCTCCGTCTCGAATTGCCAGAAAACGGTTCTTTCGTGCCCTGTGCCGATGCTTTGAGAGTACTTCCGGCGGATATCAATCCAGCAGATATTACGGCGGAAACCGTCAAGTTCTCCGTCAACGTCATATGATCGCGTTCGTCGTTGCGAAGTGTCCGTACACTGATACCACATCTCCTTGTCTTCCGTCTCCTTCCCACGTCTGGAAGTTTTGCGCCTGAACCTCCTCCATTAAAGTTTGTAATCGCGTCGCAGATGCAGCTGATTGAGGTCGGATACCTGAGTCTGCCGCAGCTGGAAAGTCTGTCCCTGAATCCATAGGCGCAACACGACAGACGGTCATGCAAAAAGCAATATCGGGTATTCGTTGAAGCGGTAACTCTTGAACTGTCAGTTTCGGTGTCGTGACTGCGCCTCGAGCTGTAGGTTGTGAAAGACGCAGGACGCGAGGAGAAGGGAGAATGACGATTGGTTTGTAAGACCGCGAGCGAGGAGGTACGAGCAGTGCAGAGCATGGCAGATTCACCACACAGTGAAGCCTGCTACGAGGCAGAGAAGCTACGCGAAACTCAGGATATGGTGGAAGTGTTTAGGCACTGAAGTTGAGATACGTACTAACTCGCAAACGGCCAAGTGACAAACTAGAAGCCGTCAACAATGAAAGAGAACGAAGTCATTTCTGCTGGGGAATGTGGCAAGATGAATGAATGTCAGTACGTTGAATGGTGAGGAATACGCAGAAGGGAAGAACAGCCCCAAACCAAACGGAAGGAGACCCGAAGGACGATTACTTTTAGGGCGCGTGTCCTTGGGCCCAATTTGTAAAGTTCGGGCCTTTGTGTCGAGTTTTGCCATTCAAACATTCCTCGAGCTGTAGTCGAGAATTACAACTTTGGAGGCTCGAGTCGCGTGTCCTCCATTCACATCAGTCAAGCAACACCAACAAAGCTCGAGTATCAAAGTTCGAGTTTGTAAAGGAGGTACCGAGTCGCACATGTTCTTCGTAGGTTACCTGGTTTGTCTTCGTAGGTTACCCTAAACCCGGCTCGCAGCACTTTCACGCTGACAACAACTTCGGTAGTGCACACTGGTTTTTCGTTTCGCAGAGTTCGCTGATTCAGCGAACGTGTGCAAAAGAGCACACGTTTGACAAATCGTGCTCACGACAGCTCAACTTTCCTGATCAATGTGCATGCTTGTTTCCATGGTTCTATCGGATGTTAACGAATATGGCGAGACAGTTTTACGACATTCGCGAAACATGTCACCAATTAATGCTCGAGCATAATTTTGAGCTCGGACCATCAAGGACACGCGCCCTTATGACGACGCTCGCGAGAGTTACGCGCGCACACGTGGAAGCAGACGAACCATCTGATTCGTCGTCAGATATTTGTTCAGAATGTTCCCCCAACAGCAGCATCGTTAATAACCGTATGGGTGTGAGTCCACATAATTTTCTTACATAACATTGCGGTTTTATATCTCCTCGCGTGTGGTTCCTCAGCCTCGAAGCACCAGCAACCGTTTTCTGACTAGCACCACACCGCCTAGCCTTCTCGTAGGTCATTCCCTCTGAATCGCTCGGAGTTTGACCTTCCGATCTCGTTAGCGCAGGTTTGCAGGTCGCATCTTTATCACTTTTATCTCTTCCGCCTCGCGAATTGTCCGATACCGGGCCATAACTTTGTTGTACCAATCGTCCAACCTTTCCCCGTTTTACCTGCGAAGTCCTGCGATCAGTCGTTCTCCGACAATGGATGAGAACCTTTACGACGAGTTCGGAAACTACATCGGACCGGAAATCGCGTCCGATGAGGAAGAAGAAGAGGAAGAGGATGAGCAGGAACAGGAACTAGCAGACGGCGAAGGAGCAGGAGGCGAAATGATCGGGATGGAAGAAGACGAAGAGGAGCCGGATAACGAGGGAGCGGTGATATTAGCCGAGGATAAAAAATACTACCCGACGGCGATCGAGGTGTACGGCGAGGACGTCGAAACCCTAGTCGAGGACGAAGACGCTCAGCCGTTAGAAGAGCCGATCGTCAAGCCGGTCCGGCAGTTCAAATTCGAGGTGGCATCGAAAGGCGTGCTCGCAACGTACGTGTCGACGGAGTTCATCGTCGGATTGATGAAAAATCCAACTCTGGTCCGAAACGTCGCTTTAGCAGGTCACCTTCACGCGGGAAAAACCCTTCTCATGGATATGCTGGTCGAAGCGACTCATCCTGACGTCGCCACGTTGAATCCGGAGAGTCAGCGGCACATGCGGTTCACAGATACGCGCGTGGATGAACAGCAGCGGATGATCAGCATTAAGGCGGTTCCGATGTCGCTCGTGCTGGAGGATTCGACGGGGAAGTCGTATCTGTGCAATGTGGTGGACACGCCCGGGCATGTGAACTTCTCGGATGAGATGACGGCCGGAATGCGCCTGGCGGACGGCGTGGTGCTGGTCGTTGACGCCGTGGAAGGGGTCATGGTGAGACGCTGGCTCGGGATTGGGTTGTGAGGTTGAAAGTCATGGTTCAGTATTTGGGTGAAGAGGGGAGCTAGTTGCACGTTGTGACTGGTGGATGGGGTGGTGTTGGCCGTTGATGCCGTGGCGTGGAAGGGGCCCTGGTGAGACGTGGACAGTGGAAGGGTTAGGGTTGCTGACGGGTAGATGGCTTATGGTAAGATTCGTGGAAGGTGTCCATGAGAGTTCAGGTTCGTTATTGGGGGTAAGGGGTAAGGTAATGGCAGTTGTAAGGTTGGCTTGTGGACGAGGTTGTGCTAGTCGTGGATGCTGCCGTGCCGGTTAGTGACTACTTCAGGCTAAAGAACGACTGTTTGCTGTTGAAGGGGTGAGAGGATCCAATCTGCAGAGGGGATGGTTCTGACTGTGGATGTTGAAATGCTCATGGTATGATTTGAGCCCCCTTTTTTGTCCACCTGGTGTAAGTTCCCTGATTTCAGATTGTGAGATGCACAGTCACGAATCTCTAGTCCCTGCAAGCCAAAGTGTTGGTAGTGGTGCGTGCATGTCCTTGTCACTCTCTCTTTCCTCCCCATTTTGTATTTTCCACCCGGACTGCGTTGCCTGGTTGGTCAGGTGAACACGGAGCGAGCACTGAAGCATGCGTTGCAGCAGGGCCTGGCCATCACTCTCTGCATCAACAAGGTGTGCCCTTTCGCCATTTCCCTCTCCTGCCCAAGCTCTCTCCGTATCTGAGTGTTATCCAGAACACTCAAAGGTGATTCCGATATAGCATGCGTTGCAGCAGGGTTTGGTCATCACTCTCTGCATCAACAATATGCCCCCTTTTGCTCTCTTGTCCACTTTCTCTTTTTCATCGCCTGTTCCCCCACTCGCTTCCCCTACCCTTCCCATCTGCCCTCGCCCTAGTATATCACTCTCTCTTTCCTTCTTAATCAAATCTCTTTATTCTCTTTGTTCGTTTCGCCCGTCTCTTCCTCTCGCCCCTCCACTGCCCTGCTCTCATTTCTACCTACCTTCACACACTTGGACCCTCTCCACCTCTCTTTATCGCCTCCTCTTCCATTTCCTCCTCTCCACCCCCCCCTCGCCCTCTCCCCTTCCCTGTACCCCTCTATCAGGTGGACCGGTTGATAACTGAACTGAAGCTGCCCCCCCCAGACGCCTATCACAAGCTGCGCCACACTCTAGAGGAGGTCAACGCCCTCATCGCCTCCTATGCTCCCGCCGCCATGGCCGCCCGAACCTCCGGCTCAGGCTCGGCAATCGTCTCGGCAGCCATGCCTTCTGAAGCTCCCCAGCTGGACCCGGTCCTGGGAAACGTCTGCTTCGCCTCTGCCGCTGCTGGCTGGTCTTTCACCCTGCTTTCCTTTGCCAAGCTTTACACCCAAACTCACGGGGTAAATTTCGATCCTGAACAGCTCGCGAAGCGGCTGTGGGGTGACCTGTACTACCACCCCGACACCAGAACCTTCCGAAGGAAGCCGCCCGCCGGCGGCGGCGAGCGGACGTTTGTGACGTTTGTCCTGGAGCCGCTGTATAAGCTGTACTCTCAGGTGGTCGGGGAGCATAAGAAGAGCGTAGAGGCTACTCTAGGCGAGCTAGGGGTGTCTCTCCGTCCCTCCACCTACAAAATGAACGTGAAACCGCTGCTGAAGGCGGCTATAGGGGCGGTTTTAGGGGGCGGCGCAGGGGGTTTGGCTGATATGATCATCCGGCATTTGCCGTCCGCTAAGGTTGCTGCTCCAGTGAAGGTCCAGACGACGTACACCGGCCCGCTGGTGGGCAAACGGGCGGCTGCGATGCTGTCCTGCAGCGCGAAGCGACGAGGGCCGTTGATGGTGCATGTGACGAAGCTGTACCCGAAACCGGACTGCTCGGCGTTTGATGCACTAGCGAGAGTCATGTGTGGGACTCTTAGGACTGGGCAAACGGTTAGGGTTTTGGGAGAGGCGTATTCGCCGGATGATGAAGAGGATATGGCAGTGAAAGTGGTTACTAAGCTGTGGTTATACCAGGCTAGGTACAGGGTGCCGATTTCGTCTGCTCCGGCTGGCTCCTGGGTGCTTATAGAGGGAGTGGACGCGTCTATAACGAAGACAGCGACCCTCTGTGAGGAGTTCGGGCAGCAGGGGGGGTACGGGGGTGCGGAGGACGAGGAGGAGGAGGAGGCGGGGGGGAAGAAGGGCGGAGTGGGAGCAGGAGGCCGGTGGGGAGCAGGAGGAGGAGAGGAGGAAGAAGAAGAGGAGGACGACGAGGACGTGTTTATCATCGCGCCACTGAAATTCAACACGGTGTCAGTTGTCAAGGTGGCGACAGAGCCGCTGAACCCGTCAGAGCTGCCCAAGATGGTGGAGGGGCTGAGGAAGATCAGCAAGAGCTACCCGCTGGCCGTGACACGCGTGGAGGAGTCAGGCGAGCATACAGTGCTGGGGACAGGGGAGCTGTTCCTGGATTCGGTGATGAAGGACCTGAGAGACCTGTTCTCTGAGGTGGAAGTGAAGGTGAGCTGAGGGGCCTGATACGTCGGAGTTGCAAGGGGGGGTTAAGGGCTGGTGTTCAGGAGTGTGGGGAGCACACGGTGCTGGGCACGGGGGAGCTTTTCTTGGACTCGGTCATGAAGGACCTGAGGGATTGGTTTTCTGAGGTGGAAGTCAAGGTGAGCACAGGGGTTGGGGTTCAGGGTTTCAAGGTTTGATACCGGCTGGCTGTGACACGCGTGGAGGAGTCGAGCGAGCACACGGTGCTGGGCACGGGCGATCTGTTCCTGGACTCGGTCTTGAAGTACCTGAGGGACCTGTTTTCCGAGGTGGAAGTCAAGGTGAGCAGAGGGGGTTGTGGTTTTGGGGTTGCAGGGGTTTAGGGGTTTAGCCCTGCTGGCTGTGATGAGGATGGAGGGAAGGGCGAGCACACGCTGCTGGCACGGGAAAGCTGTTCGTGGATTCCGTCGTGAAGGACCTCTGGGGTTTGTTCTCCAAGGTGGAAGTCAAGGTTAGTAGGGCTTAGGGTTTGGGTTTTTGGGGTTTAGGGGCCTTGGAATTTGTGACGTGCTAGCAGTGGGGAGGGAGGAACAGTCAGGCGATCACACGGTGTTGGGCACACACAGGCAATCTGTTTCTGGGTTTGATCATGATCAAGAGTTTGAGAGATTGTCTTTGAAAGGATTCCATGCTTGGGAGTTCGATGCCCTCTTCTGCCCTTGCCTGATACATTCTATCATTCTCGATCATCCCATGCCCTCTGCCCTCGCCACCCCTGCCGTCGCCCCACTTGCCCTCGGCCTGCCTATGCCACTGCTTCCCTTGGCTTCCCTGACCTTGCCTTTCTTACCCACACAGGTGGCAGATCCGGTGGTGTCCTTCTGTGAAACCGTCGTGGAAACTTCCTCCCTCAAGTGCTTCGCTGAGACTCCCAACAAGAAGAACAAGATCACCATGGTATGCCATGTGTGTATGTGTGTTTGGTGCATACATGTATACGTGTGTGTATGCTGCATTCTTCTCAATGCATACATCACATTTGTATTTGCTGAGACGCCCAACAAGAAGAACAAGATCACCATGGCATGCATGCAGGCAGGCATGGTCGCACAGGTATGTCGACATGTTATGATGCATGAAGTGGCCAAAGAAGCACTTTCCATCCACTCCTCCTCACTTCCTTTCCTCTCCCCGTCCACCTCCCCCTTCCCCTCTCAGATCGCCGAGCCCATGTAGAAGGGCCTGGCTGAGGACCTGGAGAGTGGGGTGGTTTCCTTCCCTCGAGTCTTGATCGGCCAAGGAAGCGCATGGCGCAGCTCCTCCCCTCACTCCCGCCTACTCCTATTTGCTCTCCCTCTGCCCCTTCACAGTCATGTCAGATCGCGCAGCCCATGGAGAGGGCCTGGCAGAGGACCTTGAGAGCAGCGCAGTCCCTGGACTGGATGGCCCATGGTAATGCGGTATTGTATTGGACTTCTCTTCAGATTACTCGCCTCTCTTCCCCTCACACTCATGTCAGATCGCGGAGCCCATGGAGAAGGGGTTAGCAGAGGACCTTGAGAGTGGCGCAGTGTCCCTGGACTGGCCGAAGAAGCGCATGGCGGAGTTCTTTCAGACCAAGTACGATTGGGACCTGCTGGCCGCCCGCTCCATCTGGGCCTTCGGTCCCGACCGACAGGTGCGTGCCGGTTGGTGGGGGGTGGTGGGAGGTGGGTGAAGGGTGATGGTGGTGAGCTGGTTTCCTTTGTCGTAGACTTGATGCTTGTTGCCTGTGATGTGGGGACGTGAGGAGCGCTTGAGTTGAGACCAGGGGAAGCGCATGGCGGAGTTCTTTCAGACCAAGTACGATTGGGACCTGCTGGCCGCCCGCTCCATCTGGGCCTTCGGTCCCGACCGACAGGTGCGTGCCGGTTGGTGGGGGGTGGTGGGAGGTGGGTGAAGGGTGATGGTGGTGAGCTGGTTTCCTTTGTCGTAGACTTGATGCTTGTTGCCTGTGATGTGGGGACGTGAGGAGCGCTTGAGTTGAGACCAGGGGAAGCGCATGGCGGAGTTCTTTCAGACCAAGTACGACTGGGACCTGCTGGCTGCCCGCTCCATCTGGGCGTTTGGACCCGACAGACAGGTGGGTGCTGATTGGTGGTGGGTGAGCGTGGGTGGTGGTGACCGGGTTTAACTCTCACCTGCGCGGGAGAGGAGGGGAGCTGGTTGTTGTGTGTTGGGAGCGGGACAGTGTCCCTGGACTGGCCCAAGAAGCGCATGGCGGAGTTCTTTCAGACCAAGTACGACTGGGACCTGCTGGCCGCCCGCTCCATCTGGGCATTTTGGCCTGACAGACAGGTGGGTGGTGGGCGGTGGGTGGTGGGCGGTGGGTGGTGGGCAGTGGATGGTGGTGATGTGAAAAGAGGGGATCGGCTCCATTTTCTTCATCCCACAAATTGTATTGCAAAATCTTAGACGGGAACGGCTTCGTTGCCTGAAAAGCCTGTTCCTCCTTTGCGACTGCTCTTTTGCACCTCCTGTCGAGCTTATTCGTGCATCCAGGGATTGGAGGAGTAGACATAGCTCAGGGTTAGGAGTTGTAAGCTCTGGAACCCTGAAGTCATACGCGTTGAAGCTTCAAGCTCGACTCATCTCATCTCATCTTATCTCATCTCATACCATCCCCATCCCCACCCTCTTCCCCATTTCCCCCTTCCTACTTTCCCCCCCTTTTTCCCTGCTCGCTCTCCTTTCTCAGGGTCCTAACATCCTGGTTAACGACACTCTCCCCAGCGAAGTAGACAAGAACCTGCTGGCTGCTGTCAAGGAGTCGGTTATCCAAGGGTAAGTTGGGACGATTGTTGAGGCGCCTAAAAAGTGTTGGATATGCTGTCTAGGTGTCGAAAAATATGAAAGAACTCATTCTTCTTCTCCTCCCTGGGTAAGTTGCTTGTCCCCGGCTGTTGGCTGTGGCAAAGGTGTTTTGTGGCACCTCTAGTCTTATGCCTGCATGTCTGCATGTTCTAGCGTTCTCATGTGTGTGCGCATGCATACGTGTTTGCATGTGTGTTTGTCGGCATGTATGCATTGCCTTGGCCACGCCCATGCCCGTGCATGCCTAAACCCATTGCATGCCCATACCCATGCCCATGCCCATGCATGCCCATGCGCAGTGTGCAAATCAAGCTGCCGCACCCTCGCCCTTCCTTCCCCTCCTGTCCTTCTCCCTTCTACAGTTTCCAGTGAGGAGCGAGGGAAGGCCCTCTGTGCGATGAGATGAGCCCATGAGGAACGTGCGATTCAGGCTGCTGATGCTCTTGCGACACCGGACCCACTCTTCCCTCTCCCCCGTTCCCCTCTTGTTTGTTTCCCCCCTCACAGCTTCCAGTGGGGAGCACGTGAGGGCCCCTTGTGTGACGAGCCCATGAGGAATGTGCGATTCAGGCTGTTAGACGCTCTGGTGGCGCCGGATCCTCTGCAGCGGGGAGGTGGACAAGTCATCCCCACATCCCGCCGCGTGGCTTATTCGGCTTTCCTCATGGCGTCGCCTCGCCTCATGGAACCCGTTTACTTTGTGGAGGTGAGTGCTGCCCCTCTTACTGGTGCGCGCATATTCTGTGGTAGCATGGGAATACGCACATCAAGAATTTACATGTGTGAGTGATGGGGAGGTAGCACATATGTACCACACGTGTGGTCACACACTGCGTGCGCTGCTCAGCTTTCGTCATGGTGCCGCCTCGCCTCATAAAGCCCATTTTCTTCGTCAGGGTGACCTGGTGCCTGCGATAATGTATCCGTTTTCCCTCTTCATGCACCTGAGTCCACTCAGGTCATCCGTCCCCGTTTCACATGGTGTGCCGGTTCTGTCAAAAAATACATAACGCCCCCTCATGTTTTACATCCGTGCTCGTTTCACATCTGAGAGCTTGCTTTCACATTCCCAGCCTGCATCTTGACGTTTTATTCCCCTCCACACACACCCCCAACTTTTCAGATCCAGACCCCTGCGGATTGCATGTCAGCAATCTACACGGTGCTGTCGCGCGCTTTGATGTTTCCACCTAGTTATCGGGTTGTCATCGTCAACCCTCCGCACCTCTCTCCATTGCCTTCCCAACTTTTCAGATCCAGACCCCTGCGGACTGCATGTCTGCAATCTACACGGTGCTCTCGCGCCGTCGGTGTCTCATCATCTCCCCTCCCCACCCCTCCTCTTCATTGCTGTATTGCCTTCCGTGCCCTTCAGATCCAGACCCCTGCGGACTGCATGTCAGCCATCTACACGGTGCTCTCGCGCCGTCGGTGTCTCATCATCTCCCCTCCCCACCCCTCCTGACCACTAACCCCTCCGCCACTCTTCAGATCCAGACCCCTGCGGATTGCATGTCAGCCATCTACACGGTGCTGTCGCGCCGCCGAGGCCACGTGACGGGCGATGCAGCCAAGGCCGGCACTCCTGCTTACATTGTTAAGGTGCTGTTCTGAACTCTGATTCATAATTTCAAGGTGCCGTGCTTGAAGATGCTTTGATTCACATCTTCCAGCTGCCCTTTTGCTCGACTCAACGGTCGCACCTTCTTCCAGATCCAGTGACAAAACGTACTGAGCATCGGATACCTGCAATGCAATTCCACGTTTCCTCTGTTCCTTCACTCACCCCTCACCATCATTCCTCCCTGCTTCTTCCGCTGTGCTTCCACCCACCCCCCTCCTCTGGGCCATCCTGCCAGTGATGGAGTCCTTTGGATTTGAGCCAAATCTGTGCTATTGCATGCAGGCCGTCTGCGTCTCTTCCTTACCTCCTGACATCTCCACGCTCTCTCCTATGCCTTTCCCTGCTTCCTGTCCTGTGCTCTAACACTCCCTCCTCCCCCAGGCCATCCTCCCAGTGATCGAGTCCTTTGGCTTTGAGACTGACCTGCGCTATCACATGCACGGGCATGCTTTCTGTGTGTGTCTGTGTTCCATTCTCCCCTCCCCACCCTCTCTCCTTTGCCTTGCTGTGCTCCCTCTGCTGCACTCCCTCCTCCCCCAGGCCATCCTCCCAGTGGTCGAGTCCTTTGGCTTTGAGACAGACCTGCGCTATCACACGCAGGGGCAGGCCTTCTGTGTGTCGGTGTTTGACCACTGGGCTGTGGTGCCAGGGGATCCTCTTGACAAGAGCGTGTTTTTTATTTGAGTCAACTGAACTTATCCCCCCCCTCCACCCGCCCTCCCTGCTTCCTGTGTTGTGCCTCCCTCAGGCCATCCTCCCAGTGGTCGAGTCCTTTGGTTTTGAGACAGACCTGCGCTATCACACGCAGGGGCAGGCCTTCTGTGTGTCTGTGTTTGACCACTGGGCGGTGGTGCCGGGGGACCCTCTCGACAAGAGCGTCGTGCTGCACCCGCTAGAGCCGGCTCCCGCTCAGCACCTTGCGAGAGAGTTCATGGTCAAGACGAGGCGGAGAAAGGTGAGAGGAGAGGGGGGAGGGGAGTGAAAAGGTGAGGTCAGGTCACCCCCTAGCCGGGGGAGGGGGGGGGGGGAGGGAGAGCACGGTGGGGGAAAAGGGGCAACTGGTGAGAGATTGTGGGTCGGTTCAGACAGGCCTTTTGTGTGTCAGTGTTTGACCACTGGGCTGTGGTGCCGGGGGACCCTCTTGACAAGAGCGTCGTGCTGCACCCGCTAGAGCCGGCCCCTGCCCAGCACCTTGCGAGGGAATTTATGGTCAAGACGAGGCGGAGAAAGGTGAGGATGAGAGGTGGGAGATTGAAGAGGAAAGGGTGTGAGTGAGTTTGTGGGTCAGGTCAGAAAGGCCGGATTGTTATTCATCTGTTTGGCTGTGTTCGACCACTGGGCGGTGGTGCCGGGGGACCCTCTAGACAAGAGTGTGGTGCTGCACCCGCTAGAACCGGCTCCTGCTCAGCACCTAGCCCGAGAGTTCATGGTCAAAACGAGGCGGAGAAAGGTGAGGAGGACAGAGGTGGGAGATGGGAAAATGGGGGAGGGATGTGAGATTGTGGGTGGGGGGAGGCCGACCTGTGTGTCTACCGTTGACCATTGGGCTGTAATTCCGGAAAAACTCTCTCGACAAGAATGTGGTTCTGAACCCTCTCGAGCTGCTCAGCACGTTGCGAGTAAGTTCATGGTCAGAACGAGGCGGAGAAAGGTGAGAAAGAGAATGTGGGTAAGGGATGTGGGTAGGTATGCGGGGTTTGAGAATCGTTGGGGAGGCCGTCTGTGTCTCTGATTTTGACGTCCGGGCTGTGATGGTGCCAGCCGAACCTCCAGACAAGGGCGTGTCGGTGCGGCCACTAGGGCCGTTGGTGCAGGATGACCCCCCCAATCCTGCTGTGGTAATCTGACAAAATCTGAGCCCATCTTGGTTTTGTACCAATTCGTTGCTTCTCCTTGTGTGTTCTCTCAGGGCATGAGCGAGGATGTGAGCATCAACAAGTTCTTCGACGATCCTATGCTTCTGGAGCTGGCTCGACAAGACGCAGAGCTGCAGCAAATTCTTTGAGTGGCTCGCTGACTTGGGTTGGATTGTTTTTGCTTGGGAGGATCTTCAAGAAGGATGTACCGTGTTTGCCTAACATTGCTAATTGCTGAAGGCCACCATTCTCGGGCTTTTAGGCGCTACAATTTTCCATATGTAGAAAAAATCCCTGTTTGTACAGAAGCTCCTACTTTCTGATAGCACGTTGCTTGCCTAAAAGAGTTACTATTGTGGACGACTCCATGACTGATACATAGTAACGGATAATTCAGCATCATTCCAGATTGTTGCGCAACTCCGCTAAACGGTAACCCGTCGCCTCATTACACTCTCGCTATAGCGAGGAGTCTATCTGTGTCAGGCGCATCTACACGGCTACGTCAGTCCGTCGGATTCGGTCAGTTACGCTTGTTTTGTTCAAATCACAATTTCTGAGTCGTCTCGTGAATCGAAGCTAATTGTTCGAGGAGTGTAGTTGTTCCCGGAAGAAGGTAATGCAATTGACCTATTTCCGACACTTGATGCGGATTGCAGCACTTGGTACGCTTAGAAAAGGGACGAGTTCGTCAATAGAAAATCGTGGACACGCCTTAGCAACAGCAGTCTTCTCCCGCGAAGTTTGAAGCATGGAGCAAGCGTGCGACAAGCCGCGACCTCAGGGAACACACGGCGGTGCTGCCTTTTGGTGACGAATGCGCTGCTTCTCGCCGTGACTGACAACTGACACGTGTGCTCTACTACTCGAAACCTGCTCTGCCTTCAGGCGTGGAACGCTCTCGGCGCGATCGCGATGTCCGTTATAGCGCGTGCTTCCCGCAAATCCGCGGTGTTGCGCACTGCATGCTTCCGCCTTGCCTCGCCCGCGATCGCGTGGGGGGGATTCTCGTCCGCCGCTGCTGGCGCATCCCCTGCTTCCGCTTCCGCCTCTCCCGCCAACGCTTTCGCCTCTTCCGCCGATGTCTCCGCAGCAGTCGCGGGTGACCATGGCACTCGACGCGTGCCAGGCGAAGCCGCGGCGTCAAGTGGGAGAGTCGCGTCGGCGAGCGTTGATGGCGAAGAGGTGGCGAAGTTTGAGGCTCTCGCCAGCCAATGGTGAGCTCTGGGGAAAACAAGAAGGCTCTGAAATTGGTTCACGCAGCTTGAATTGCTGCTAAATTCAAGCAACCCCACTCCGTTTTTTGAGAATTTCTAATATATTTCGCAACGCCTTGCCGCTCTTCTCATCCCTCCCCATCCAGGTGGGACCGCAGGGGCCCTCACGCTCCCCTACATGCCATGTCAGCTGCCCGCGTGGCGTTCGTGCGTGATGCCATGTGTCGGCACTTTGGGTGAGAGTGGGGTTGGGTGAGAGAGAGAGTATAAGAGAGCTTATGAGTGGGGGGTGTCTGTGGGAGAGAAAGAGTGCACATACATCCAGGAATGTGACCATGCTCTCAGCATGTCTAAAGTCCTGTCTTCAGCCAATGCCTCTTTTTTGGCCCCACTTACGCAATGCCATGCCATACCATACCATACCATACCATACCATACCAAGTCCTGTCTTCAGCAATCGCTTTTTGAGTGCAGTCTCATCCCAATCCTGCCCTAAATATTCACTCCTTCCGTGTCCACGTGCCCGTTAGTCTGAATGCAGAGTTGGCTCAACCCCTGAAAGGGCTCAGAGTGCTCGATGTGGGCTGTGGGGGGGGGCTGCTATGTGAGGTGAGACTTTCTTCACCGCGCTTGTTCCCTTTTCTTTTTTCCTTTCTCCCTCCCTTGTTGTCGGGTACATGGTGTCACCAATGCTGTTGTTTAGCTGTTTAACGTTCGCCTTGGCACTGTAACCTTGTAGCTGCTTATTCCACCTTTTCACCGCTGTTCTTTGCCTTCTTCTCTTTCTTTTCCCTTTACCCCTCATTTCCCAAACCCCATTCCAACGAACCCCTTCTGGGCCGTTCTTTCTTCTCTTGAGTCGTTTTCTGCAGCCGCTGGCTCGCCTGGGAGCGACAGTGACAGGCGTTGATGTGACACGTGTCAACACACAAGTGGCTGCTGCTCATGCTGTACGTCTCTTGTGCTGCATGTCCCTAGTGCTGCTGCTGCACGGCACGCCTCTTTTCTTGCTTCATAACCAGCGTTTGAAAAGGAGGTGTACTTTCTTAGGAGACTATAAAACCACCCCCTGAGGCGTTTGAGCTTCTTCATTGAGGCCAACAACTCGCTTTCCTTGAGGCGTTTGTTGGCCGTGTTTGTTTGCGCCCAGTTGGGTTCTGAGAATATTCAAGAACCAACTAGCTTACGGGTACGTCTGCCGTGGCCTTACAACCGCATGCCTTTTGAATTAGAATGTTGCCTAATGTGTGCTTCACGTGTGTGCTTCACGTGTGTGCTGGCACTCGAGCATGCAGGCAAGGGACCCGATCACCCGATCCATATCTTACAAGTGCATCTCTGCAGGTATCCCCTTTGATTTGGGACCTCATTTGCTGGACCGCCAATTCTTTTCTCGCGTTTGCCATCTGCTCGCTCTTTGCCCCCTCTCCTCTTCTCAGCATTTCCATTTCCAATTTCTTCTCCTTCTCAGCACTCCCTTTCCACTCTCCTTTATCTTCTCCTTGCCCTCTCCTACTTCTCCCTTCTCCACTCGCGTCCCTCTATCACGAGCAGAGGAACTTGCATCACAGGGGGCTACTTTTGATGCAGTGCTCTCATTGGAGGTGAGGTGCGGTGCGGTGAGGTGAGGTGAGGTGAGGTGAGGTGAGGTGAGGTGAGGTGAGGTGAGGTGAGGTGAGGTGAGGTGAGGTGAAATAAGGTGAGACCTGCGTTTGTTAGCCTACCCAAAAATATAAAGGTACGTGGGGAGTAAAATCAACAGATAAACATTGTGAGGCGTAGCTGGGGATTCTGTGCACGGGATGTTCCGCATCATTTCGCCCCTATTGTGCTTCCCTCTCCCCCCTCTCTGCACAGGTGATCGAGCATGTATCGGATCCTGCTGCTTTCATCCGTACCCTGACCTCTCTCTGCCGGCCCACTTCCTCCCACTCCTCAACACCACCATCAACACCACCATTAACACCACCACAGTCAACCTCCTCCTCTGCTCCCTCCCCCCTCGCCGCAAACTCTCCTCCCTCCTCCCCTTCTCCACCCTCCTCCCCCTCTCCACGCTCCACTCCATCTGACGCATCCCCATCTCAACCTTCCTCTTCACAACCCTCCTCATCACAACCCTCCATATCCGCGGCAACACCCGCACCTGCACCGCCATCCCCACCCCCTCCCGGCAAACCCGGAAGCGTGCTCTTCCTCTCCACTATCAATCGCACTGCTCGCTCCTTTGCCCTCGCCATCGCCGCCGCTGAGTACATCCTCTCTATAGTATGTACATTTTCTGTTAGTCTACATTATATTTTACTGTATGAACATTCTCTCTACCGTTATGCCTCGCTTTTCCCATTTCATTAGGGTGACCAACAGGCTTCTCATTCTCACATTTGATGAAAAGGTTTTATCTTCAGGTACTTGTTGCATGGCCACCTATTGTGCCCGTTTGGCAAAACTTGGAGGTGCCTAGCACTTATCAAAATATCACCCCCACTTGTGGCAGGTACCCCGGGGCACTCACGACTGGAACAAGTTCATCACCCCTTTGGAACTTGCCCTCATGCTGCGACGAGCCGACTTCCAGGTGAGGTTCATGCATTGGCTTCTGACAAGTGCAGCCAAGAGAAGCAAAGGTAATGCCAAACGACATTTGCAAAACAAAGCCGAGGGTAAGCTTTCCTGTAACCTGTATGTGCCCGTCCGTCTTTACCGCTGTTGCTGCAGCGAGCCAGGTTCAGAGTGGACCCTGCTGCTGACCTACCAGGTTTACTGTATCTCCACTCCACTCCAACAGCCCCTCCCTGCATGCAGCCCGTCCTTTGTCCTGCCATCTGATCTGAGTCCATTCAGAAGTCATGACTTCTTCCCGTCCGCCTTTCTCTTCCCCCCTCCCCTCCCCTGCTCTCCCTCCTGACCCGCCAGCTGGCAGAGACACGTGGCATGGTGTACGACCCAATCAGCAACAGGTGGGATCTCTCTAAAGATGACGTGGCAGTGAATTACATTGCCATGGCCACTCGTGTGGAGGAATAGAGTGTATCGGTGAATTAGGTTGGGTTGGGTTGGGTGGGCCATGTCACACTCACATGTGCGCATGGGACGCTTGTACACCAGTAGATGACATGGCATGGCAGTGAACTGTGTGAAGTGATGTGAATAACATTGGCATGCCCATTTTTTTGCAGTAGAGGGGTTGTGGATTGAAGTGCAGTGAAACGTGTTCCCTACCATGGCCACTTGCTTGAACATGCTGGTTGATATGTAACACCATACCTTTCATGCTGACGAATACTCTGTTACATTGTATGATGGTGAACATACAAGGATGGCAACTATACCAAAATTGGATTATATCAGCTCTACTTTGAGTGTGGAATCAGATCTGGATCTCGGGTGTACTTTTCTCCTACAGCCCCTGCCTTGTGCTGCTGGCCCCTTATATGCGCCAATGTAGCCCGGTAGAAGCTGTGCATGGTGGCATCAATGGTGGCGCCATCCACTGCCAGCTCTTCTTTGATGGTAAACCGAATCTGCACCGTATCAAATCTGGATCTCCGAGTACTTCTCCCCTATTGCACCCCGCCCTGTGCTTCTGATCCTTAATATGAGCGAGCGTCGTCGCCCGGTAGAAGATATGCACGGTGACATCAACGGTGGCGCCATCGACAGCAAGCTCGGAGGTGATGAGCTCGATCAGGCCTTTTGAGCCCCTGCAACCCCTTGTGAACCCTAAATTTGGATCTCTGAGTACTTCTCCCCTATTGCACCTGCCTTGTGCTTCTGATCCTTTATATGCGCCAGTGTAGCCCGGTGGAAGCTATGCACAGTGGCATCAACGGTGGTGCCATCCACAGCGAGCTCGGAGGTGATGAGCTCGATGAGGCCTTGCAGCACCACGGGGGTCACGTGGGGGTTGCCCTTGTCAAAGAAATACAGGTACCTGGGAGGGAGGGTGAGGGGGGGGCGGGTGGGGCAGAGAGGGGTTTGCATAGAGGGTCATCACACATGCGTATAACCAGCTTGGGCTGATCGTAGTATATCAGTACGAGCCCTGCCATGCCAGCACATGCACGGTGGCATCAACGGTGGCGCCATCGACAGCGAGCTTGGACGTGATGAGGCCTTGGAGTACGACCGGGGTCACGTGGAGGTTGCCCTTGTCAAAGAAATACAGGTACCTTGGGAGTGAGGGAGGGAGGGGGGCATGGGGGTGTGAAGGTATATAAATCGAGAAACACTCTTAGGCTTGGAGGTGATGAGCTCGATGAGCCCTTACAGCACCTGGAGGGGAAAGCAGGGTGGGGGAAACGGGAATTGCTGACTGCTATTACGCACACACCGACCCACACACACACACTTGACTGCTGTTACGTACACAAACACACACCGTACTACTCACTTGTTGAGGATCTCCACCAGCAGCACCATGTTAAGAGCACACCCACACACACACACAGACTTGACTAGTGTTAACCACACACAAGCACCATGTGCGAGCTGGCAGTGACTGCTGTTAAGAGCACACCCACACACACACACAGACTTGACTAGTGTTAACCACACACAAGCACCATGTGCGAGCTGGCAGTGACTGCTGTTAAGAGCACACCCACACACACACACAGACTTGACTAGTGTTAACCACACACAAGCACCATGTGCGAGCTGGCAGTGACTGCTGTTAAGAGCACACCCACACACACACACACACACACACACACACAGACTTGACTAGTGTTACTCATTCCATGCACAGATGCACATTCCATGCTACTCACTTGTTGAGGATCTCCACCAGCAGCACCACGTGTGAACCAGGCACTCTGGCAGCGGCTGAGAGCTGCTGAGCCGCCGCGTTGGCAATCTTGAGCGCTCTCTTGAGACACAGCACCACTCTGTGCAGGGGCAGGAGATAGGACAGATGACAATGGGAATACATTGATGGAACACTGGAAGGAAGTAATGGAAATGGTATGCCTGGGATAAAGGAAGTGGAGTATACGGAAGTGAACACTGGAAGGGGATAAAAGCGATGGGGTTGTTGGGGTACTGGGAAAACATAGCAGGTGGTATGAACCGGGGAAGGCGGAAGAAATAAGTTTGCATCTTACCTCTTATCGTCTCTAGGACCGTTCTCCTCATCGCTCCAAAAGAGGTGCGCACAGGCACACACAGCCCTGCACTGCTCAGCTGTTTGAGACGTAAAAAAAAAAAACAGCATCTCACCTTTCGCCGTCTCTAGGCCCGTTCTCCTCATCGCTCCAGAAGAGGTGCGCGCAGGCACACACAGCTCGGCACTGGTCTGCCTTCTTCAAGAGCTTGGCCGAATACTGAGGGTGGCAGGGACAACGGGATGGAAGGAGGGGGGTATGGGAATGTGAATACAAGAGCACACAGCTTGACACAGCTGTAAGGACACAGGAGCACGGGAGGAATGGGGGAAAGGAGGGCGTTTGTCAAAGTGAGGCCAAGAAAAGCAGGTGGGCACAGGTGCACACAGCATGGCACTGTATGTGGCAGAAACGGCTCTCGGGGAGGGAGGGTGTCTCGGTTCTCCTCTACAAAAACGTGAATGACAGTGCTGCAGCGTTCCTATAATGCAGTGCAGAGATGTGACCTGCACCCTACTTGGTAACCATACCTGGTAACTGCACCTGGTAATCACACCTGGTAACTTTACATGGTAACACTATGCGGTAACCCTACCCCAGTGGCCTTGTGGGTGAGCGTGTCTCTGTTTTCCTCTGCAAACACGTGGCAGCGCTGCAGCGTTCCGATGATCAGGTGCAGCGCGGTGACTTGTGCCTTGGAGTCCTGGTGGAGGAAGGGTGGGGGGGGGGGATAGGTAAGGAGAGAAGGGAATCAGGGAAATGTTTAGAGGACACGTGGCAGCGCTGCAGCTTTTGATGATCAGGTGCAGTGCGCTGTTCTGTGCCTTGGAGTCCTGGTGGAGGAGAGGTGCGGAGAGAGGAGAGAGGCGAGAAGAGAAGAGCAGAGTGGTGAGAGAGTTGTTAGAAAGTGAAAGATTGTATCAATCAAGGAACGAAGGGCACACATAGGTGGAAGGGAAGAAGTTGATTGGGGGCAAAGGTTGGGATATCCAACTGCCATTGGTTGAGTGTGAGCACGGAGAAGGATGCACATGCATAACATGCAGCGGTTAGCATGAGGAACTCGGATCTCCTCTTCATAGATGACGAAGGTGAGTGTGAAGAGGTAATAGGCGATGGGCTCCAGGCCACACGCACACAGTCGCACACGCACGAATACCATGCATACATACATGCACATAGAACATAGACTGAAGTACTGACGAAAATCTCCTCCTCACAGGTGACAAAGGCGAGCGTGAGGAGGTCGGTCATACGCGATGAGCTTTAGGACACACGCACATGCATGCACGCACTGTGCACATACAATGCATGCATGTATATGTACATGCACACAGCACAAGCTACTCACGGAAATCTCCTCCTCATAGATGACAAACGCCAGCGTGAAGAGGTCATAGGCGATGGGCTCCAGGCCACACGCACTGGCCACCTGTGCGCACTCCAGGGCGAGCTTCAGAGCCAAGGGAGGGACAAACTCCGATAGGGTCTCCACCACCTGGAATGTGGCGTGTGGGTGGGGTGTGGGGGTGTGGGGTGTGGGGTGTGGGTATGGGGTGTGGCACATTGAGGGAGGAGGATGCGTAAACAGTGACACGCACTGGCCACCTGTGCACACTCCAGAGCGAGCTTCAGAGCCAAGGGAGGAACAAACTCCGATAGGGTCTCCACCACCTGGAGTGATTGTGTCACGTGGGATTGGGGGGGGGATGGGGCGGAGTGAGGAGAGAGTATTGACAGCAGTGGCACGCACTGGCCACCTGTGCACACTCTAAGGCGAACTTGAGAGCCAATGGAGGGACGAACTCTGATAGTGCCTCTACCACCTAGCGTTGTTCAGCACCTGGTATTGTTCTGTAGCATCTCGGAATAGACGAGTGAAGCAGACGAACAAAGGGACGAGAGAGAAACCAACCTTATGAAGGAAGAGGAAGAGCGTGAGAGGAGTGACAGGCCCCTCCCCTGCTGCAAATTCACACAGTCGACCCACGGGCCACATGGTAGCAGAGCAGAGCCGGCGAGCACAGCAAGCAAGCACAACAGACCTTGTGAAGGAAAAGGAAGAGCGTGAGAGGGGTGACAGGCCCCTCCCCCGCTGCAGCAGCCGCCATAGCGGCTTGACTCGCCACTACCCCCGCTGTTGCCAATGCTTGATCCGCCCCTGTGATGCCCTGAGCGAGCAGTTGGTGCACCAACTGTGATGGTGGGCAGGGATTGGAGAAGATTGAGAGGACGATATCTCAACAAAAGGGTGATGAACAGTTCCCTGCCTGCCCCAGCTGCTGCCAGTGCTTGGTCCGCACCTGTGATGCCCTGAGGTAACAGCTGGTGCAGCAGCTGTGATGGAGGGAAAACAGGAGTGAAAGAAGGAACTGAGCTCTTGAGATGTCCCAAAAACACACCAAGTGATGTGATGGTCAAGGGATAGAGATGAGGTAGTCCACGCATGCAGCAAATGGAGGCTCTGAATTGTAGTACTAGCGCACTGAACGACACTGATTTATGATGAATCAGCCATCCACTGTTTGCCGTTAAGAGGAGAAAACATCAGAACTCAGTGTTGGAACAATGTAAGTAACTTCAACAGTCTGCCCGGTTATATGCAAAATGAGGTGTCTTGCAGAAAGCTAAGGATACACCGTTGACGAGTGTACTTGCAAACTATAACGAGCATACCTGTAGCGAGCAGAAGACAAGTGAGGGGATGGTGAAGCGTAGTCTGGATTGGCCTCCCTTGAAGAGATGCGTTCGGATGATGGCCAAGATCTGACACGTGTAGGCAAGTGGAGGGAGCAGAGAGGGAGCGATGTGTAAGACACAGTAGGCCACGCAGGCTGCAACAGAGAGAGAGAGAGAGTTGCAGTCTGCACTGGCCTCCCTTGAAGCGATGCGTTCGGATGATGGCGAGGTGTGTGGGCACGC